GAATTTTCTAAAATGAAATAAATTACGCACACTTCCATTCTTTTACGAAATTTCGGAAGAAAATCGGTAAAGAAATGAAAATAATGCTGCTATTTGAAGAATTTCTTGCAGACTTTTTTCAGAATTTTCTTTATTTTTCGTACAGAAATTTCTTTACGAGTTCGTGTCAACCCCTTCATATAATTTTCTTTGAAAATTCGTAAAAAAATCGTTACAGATATCAGATACTCCTAACGATTTCCTTAAGATCTCGGGAACTTTGGTTTGCAGGGTAAATTTAAAATTTAAATTGTTTGGAAACGTCAAGAATTTTAAAAGTGACTCTCAGCGGTTCTACCTTACTATATTTTTATCATGCTACGAACTTGTCTATCAATTTGGTTAAATACTTTTTTCATGATTCGAATCGTACTCAAACTGTTTACGAAATTCTTCGCTTTGGGATTTCCAAAATTTCCATAAATATGCAAATCCTAATGAAACTAACGCATATCGGGGCGTGTTTACACAAATATCAAAATAGTAGGATTGAGGCTTTAAAGGGCTGTAGTTTTTTTTATGCGTATTACCATTTGAATAATTGATTAGTTCTAAGCCAATGATTCCTATACGAAATGGGGGCTCGTGTTCGCGTTATCCATAGATTGCGTGACTCATACGTCACAATTTGTAGAATAGGATTTTTTGGCTTATCTGATTTATGTTTGCAAGTGATTTATTAGCCAAATAATATTTTAATGATCTTCGCGCTGAACGTTTGATAGTTTTATTTTTAGAAAACCGTTATAAGTTGTCTCTGGTTATTCGCAAGAAATTTTGAGGGAAGCGACATTTGGCGAATTAAGTTTTGGGCAAAAAAAAAAACACAAAAATCCGAAGCAATCTTTTTAAAATATTGCATGTTCGCAAGAAATCCTCCACATTACGGTCGTGTGGGGTGCCCTCAAACCTGGATAAATAGGATTTTAACTTGCTACGGCATCCAGACCGTAATCGCGCCAATATTACGCGGATCTCTCGAAGCAGCAGAGGCTTTTTTATTGCGATAGGTGGCCGCCAAACTCCGACCGCCGCATCCGCGAGGCTGAGAGTTGGTAAAGGTGAACCTTAGATGAATGTAGTTCTTCTTTATTG